CAGGAAGAAGGGAAGGGTGGTTGGGCCTGGCTGGGTGGCCCCATGTCTTTCACTCACACGAACTCTGGTCTGTAAAGATCCTGGTACAAGTTTTTGCTTTTAAGGTTGTTCTGTGACTGAAACTCCTGACTGCTTTTAGAACTATTAGGAAATGATTAGCTGTTAAAAGTAAGCCAAATCTTTCTTCATATGAAGAATTATTAATTAGTGTTTTAAGGGGATACTATGCTTGTTTTTTCTTCAACTAGTGGGCAGACTAGAGGAGAGCAAAGCAATTGGAAAGAAAGAAGAACTATAAAAATTAAATTCAGCATTGCCTTATGAAATTTAATATGCCATTGTTGGGTTTTGTGGGTGCTTTATTATTTTTTCCCTGCCTCTAAGAAAAGGTCTGGGTACAGTCCATGCAGAATAGAGGGCAAAAGAAACAGGGACTCCAAATTGTGAAATGACCCATGGGAGCTCAGTGGCCCACATACCTCTCATTCCAATGACCCCAATGTCACAGTCCACAGTCAGCCATAGCCAGCCCCTCTCTGGAGAAGACACCACTGGGCAGGGGTGCATGGGGGAATTACCAGCAGTTATCCAACCTGGACTGAGTGGGTTGGCCAGAGCACATGTTGAGGCAAAGCTCCCTGCATGCTAGGGGACTCTGGCTCTTGTGACAAAGGGGTACAATTCTTTTCAGCTCTTAAAAAGCCAAATAGGGAAAAATCTGTCCCATGGGACATATGTCAGGCTTGGTTGGGCCCTGTGGCTAGGAAATTCTTCATTTATCTAAAGGAAATAAGAATGTGGGCAGCCTGTCTATTTGTGCAAAGCAGACAAGCACAGCCCAGAGGAGAGAAGGGCCTGTACCCAATGGCTAAGTGGAGCGTGGAGCCCTGGCAAGGAGGAAAGAAAAAAGCAGCCTGGGCTGGGGGCCAGGGCTGGCCTGCCTGGGGGCGGCGGGGGGGTGGGGGGTGGGAGACACCAGATTCCATCCCCCTCCTGCTTGCTGTGGCTGGTAACACAAAGGGAAGGAGGGTGGGGTGGGAGGGCTTGGCCCCTCTTTCCCTGCAGAGGTTGGTCCACTGGCCTCAAACGATTATTACATTTAATGAATTGCAGCTTGTAAAAGGCTTTGAAGCTACAAGGCACAGCCTGGACACTGAGATTCTTTTTCTTAAGTCATTTTATTCTATGAAAAAAAACCCAGTCCCTCTGGAGCAAAGAGCAATAATCAAGGCTGCCAACCTCCACTTGTGATAATTTATTATTATTTTTTAAGTTAAAGAAATGTGGACAAGTCAAAGCATGAGAAGACAATGGATTTGACATTTAGGCAGAAGATAGAGGGAAATGCAAAAGGGGCGTCCACTGGAGCAATAACGATTAGTCCCATTAGCTTGTGTATAACCCGTAAATAGAAGGAGCACGTAAACCGTGGGCTCAAATCACTGTGGCACTCCTGGGAAAATCTGTCTATGCTGGAACCATCTCACTAAATGGACATAAAAAGATCATGTGGTGTGTGTCTTTCAGTGGCAGTTAACCTCAATTACTATCCTGTAGTCCATAAAAACGGCTGCATGGCCTAGGGTCCATGAGGGATGCTCACCTGGGTCTGGGCATAGTTATCCAATAGAGAGTGACATTTCCAGACATGCCATAAATCCTAACTGGCATTGTTTGTGCCTGAGAATAAAAGAAAGAGTAACAGGTGTACCTTCTCAACCAACCATTTATTGCCTGGGCACTGTGACAGCATTTTACTGGCTTTTTCACCTCAGTAATGAGCCTTTGAAAAGCAAGGAAGGGGAGGCAAACAAATTCACCAGGCTTCTTGCAGGTACCTTGAGGAAAAGAGTTGAGCCCAGCTTTTCTTTTTCTTTTTTTAGGTTACATTGTTTTCAATTCTAAAGTAAAGTTCAAGTTGTGGTTGAACCCTTCACCCAGGGGGCATGCTGAACCCCCTCACACTGTGCACATTAGGTGAAATCCCACCAATTGCCCTCCCTCCTCTCCCCTTCCCCTTTCCGCCTCTCTCCTCCCCTTGCTAGACTATATTTGTGTTTCATTATTCATGTGGGCATGTAGTTGTCTACCTATTGATTTCATATGAGTATGGAGTACTTTAGATTCTTTCCTATTCTTGAGATACTTTACTAAGAAGAATGTGTTCCAACTCCATCCAGGTAAACATAAAAGATGTAAAGTCTCCGTCTTTTCTTATGACTGAAGGGTTCTCCACGGTTTACATATATCACAGTTTGCGAATCCATTCATGGGTTGATGGGCACTTGTGTTGCTTCCACGACTTGGCAATTGTGAACTGAGCTGCAATAAACATTCCAGTGTAAATCCCTCTGTGGTAAAATGATTTTTTTTTTCCTTCTGGGTAGGTACCTAGTAATGGGATTGTGGGATCGAATAAAAGGTCGACTTTCAGTTCTTTAAGAATTCTCCATACTTTTTTCCATAAAGGCTGTATTAATTTGCAATCCCACCAGCAGTATAGAAGTGTTCCCTTCTCTCCACATCCATGCCAGCATCTACAGATTCGTGAGCTCAGCTTTTCAATTCATACATCTCCTTTCTCTGATGAATCTCTTGGTGATATAGTCATTTTAACCCATCTTGGTAGTCTTATTTAAATTTTTAAAAGGTATTCTGTATGTGCATTTTCCCTTTTTAGTTTGAAATCATTATTTCTGCAGATATAAGAATAATTCCATGCCCATTCCCTGCAAACATTGAAAACATTCTTGTCCCTCCTGCTACATCTCGCTGCTTTCCTCTCCCCTCCCTGTGAGTCACTTTCTTCTCTTGCCCTCCCCTCCCCTCCCTGCCCTCCTCTTCTTTCTCCTCTTCCTGCTTCTTCTCCTCCCTCTCCTCCTTCTCCTCTTCCTCTTCCTTCCTCTCCCTCTACTTCTGGCAATTTATTTTTTAATTCTTTCATACTTTTCTAAGGATCTACTGCTTAGGTAACCTCAGGCTTGTTTGTACTTCCTTTTCCTATTCCTTTATAATGAGACTAAACCAATGCTTTACCGTAGCTATGTCTGCTCGCGTTCCTGTTTCCTGTGACCTTGGTCACATGTCCCTGACATTGTTTGCTGTGCTGTTTTCATGGACACACGTTTGCTGCTTGTTCCCCTTCCTTATCCTTCTCTTAGTTTATCCTCTAATCTACCCTGAAACTTTCTATTAGTGTCTTTCATTACTTCTCAAATCTGTCTCCACTTAAAAATTTTTCCTTATTGTTAATGCTTTTTAAACGTTCTGCCTCTATAATCCACATTAAATGCCTTTGATATTTTTCCATCATACACCCTTTTCTTGATTTTCCTTTCTAAGTTTCTTCCTGTTTTCCACTTTGCCATCTCTACTTACCATACGTCTTTCCAAGAAGGCCACATAATGCAGGAGAAGGATAAGTCTAAGTCCCAGCTGTAGGTGAGTTTGGTCTGGGGCAGGTGACATAACTTCTTCAACCCAGCTTCCTCAACTATGAAATGGGAGTTATAAAGCCAAGCTCTCAGAGCCATTATGATGACCAAGTTGAATAGTGTAGCTGGAACCCGTAACTTGGTGCTTTGTATAGTATAGATATATTGATCCACAAATGTTAGGTTCCTTTTGCCATTTAAGACAAACCCTGTCCATTTTGTAAATTCCTAGTAAAGCAGTAAGTTTTTACAAGTGTGTTAATGGAGACAGGTAGAACTTGAAGCCTTAGCTCCCATTAAATGTTATTATCTGACTTTTTGGTATTAAAACGTCAAGAAAAATCTTGGTCTGTAAGTAAGAAGGCTTTGGTTATGCTGAACTTCCACAATAGTTCCATGAGGGCCATGGAGGCACAAAATCCTTTGTTTTATAGAGGCCCAGCTCTAGCACAGAAATAGAGAAGGAGCCCTGCTCCTTCATTAGGCGTAATTGTGTAATTGTACCCCATCTGAAGTCCTCAATGTCCCCTGTGAATGAAAGAGAGGAGAAGAGTGGTTGCCTAAGGCCACTCCTAGGATTTGTTAAGGGAATAAAAGGGGATGAGCATACACATTAGATCCTAGCCCTGTGTAATCAAAACGCTTAAGGTACAGATGTGTACCACACGTATATATAAGGTGGCCCTGTACAATTATAAAGGGAATAAAAAACTCCTATTACCTAGGGACATAATAGCCATTGTAACATTGTGGCTCAAAGCATTACCTTTTCTAAGTTTAGATATGTTTAAATACATGAATACTTATTTGTATTACAATTGCCTGCAATATTTGGTACAGTAACATGCTGTACATGTCTGTATCAGGAACAATAGGCTATCCCAGCCGCCCAGGTGTATAGTAGGCTGTACCATCTCTGTTTGTGTACATACACTCTATGACATTCTCACAATGATGAAATCACCCAGTGAAACATTTCTCAAAATATACTCCCTCAAGAGATGCATACTGGTATTTCATTTTGTTATGCTACATCAAATTCACTGTAAATCAATCAGTAGTCAGCTAGTCCATGAGAAAATTGTGAGCTTAAAATCAGAGACACATTTTTATAGAGATTAAAATAGAAAAAAAAACTCTAACAGAAAAAGTGGTAATGAGGTTGTAACTCTTTTAGTGGGTAAGTTCACTGTAGGGTCAAGATGGTAGGGCCAAGGTTTCTCAGGAGACATAGACACGCAAAGTGTTCTAAATTATAGGAACTAACTGTAGAACTGTGATGGGGACAGAGACATCACAGTAGAATCAACTCCTGCTCAGAAGAAAGCACATCCCTTCAAGGTGGAAAGCCAACAGTCCTGAAGATGTGTGCTGTGGATGTCCTAGGCCAGCATAAAGTTTTATTTGAACTGAGAAATCATTATAGGAGAAAGAGGTGCCTCAAACTCCCTACTTGCCATATTTCTCTACCTGGAAGCACAGCAGCCATTGTTCTGATTCTCTTTCAGGAAGTAAGGAGGGGAGGGGAAGTCAGCATGATGTTCTGTATTTTTTTTTTTTTTTTATACTGTCAGCTCACCTTGTAGGCCCCAAAAGATAGCAAAGTCTTACTGGGGAGGGACGTGAGCTTGCTTGTCTATCCTCAGGCAATGATGTTCTGTATTTGAAGTTCCTTTGTAGGCTGTGATGGTGAACAATTGTAGTGAGACGTCAGGGCACTGATTCTCCAAGTGTGAACCCCTGACCTACTGGACCACAAATTCTGGAGTGAGGCCCATAAATCAGTGTTGATAAGCCCCCCAGGTGACCCTAATGCATGTTTAAGTTTGAGAACCATTAAATTCGAGCACAGTGTTTAAGAATGTAGATTATGTTACCTGGGTTCTAATTCCAGTTCTGCAGCTTACTAATTGTGGGATGTCACAGTACTATTGAGAGGATTAAATGAGAAAATGCCTATAAACCAAGTTTTAATGGTATCAGGGTCATAGCTGGCACTAAAGAAATGGGATCTGTAAACTTAGGAAAGGAAGTGAGTTGAGTTTGCTTTTTGGGAGGCTTGCTGAGGGAATTTCTTGTTTTTGCATTTCAAGCCTCTCTCCACCTTGTTGAAGGTCCTGGGTTCTGAACGACACTGTCTTCCAGTGTCCTGTGACTGTCTAAGAAGTGTGGGAATGATTTGTGGGTGCCCTGCTGGTCAGCAGAATGGCTCCACCGACAACAGTGAAATGAAGCCTGCCTGAGACCAGAGCTGCACCTTGTTCTGTTTTCTGGAAGCTGGGTGGAAGGATAACTGGTGGAGTTAGCCAGTCTTTTTCCCTTTGGCGACAATGTTCTTCCTGAACCCTGAGGAGTAATGAAGAGAGAAAAATTAACATTTTTGTGGTTCAGCTGACATTAAAATGGGAAAAAGCACATCACTGGAATTAGAATGTCCTGTTCATTAGTCACTCCTCCTTCTAAAATTAAAATGTCTCTGCAAGCAGAAAAAGAACAACCCTCAGTGACCTCAGAACTCATTATTTCTAAGGAATATACTTAATTTTCAGAGGAGATGAATCTGGAATTGATTTTCCATTTCTGTCACCATTGAATGGCAGCTTCAGGATCCTTGAGGAGGAGGATATATACTTTTTCATGGCATTGGCAAGGGCTGGTGAAGAGAGGTTGTTGCTGTTGTTAGTAACCTTGTAGGCAGATGATGAAGGCCCATTTTCCAATGCAAGCCATTCTAAGCCTTTCAGAAATCGAAGAGAAGGCACTCAGTCAGACTTCCTCGTGTAAGGTTTTTTCAAGTGTATACATAACCAACCTTATAAATAAGATCACCAGTCTGAGCCATTGGAAAAAAATATTGGCACTGACTGCTGAAAGGGGATGAGAGGACAGAGAACTGGAGCTTTCTTTGATACTTGAATGATTATTAGAAAGAGGGTTTGGTCTGATACTTTCTGCAACATCCTTTGCCTTCCCATCCCCCCAGACCACTGAGCTTGAGGTTGACTATAGCTGTAGCTGAACCATAAACTCTCAGAAGGCCTCTCCCCAATGCCAGGATTATTCCCATTCCTTAAATAAGTAATAGGGTTCAGTGTTCCTTGCTGTGGCTAAACTAGAAAAAGAATTTCTGGGCACAGTTCAAGTATTTCATACTATAACAAACTGGGCCAACATTGGACACCTATGTGAGTGATATCATAGCTATTATTAACCCCTCCCAAAGTCAACAGACTAAGAGTATAGATTATTACAGAATTCAGCAATGATGAATTCACTCCCAAGCTCAGAGAAATGTCTGCAGATTTTCAAACACTGTTTTCATGTTGAATTTATAGTTACCAGCTGTGCAAACATAAGATGATAGGAATGGAAGTCACGAATGAACCACGCCTCAGAAAATGTATACTAAATTTAACATTTTATAACTTAATTCCCCATAAATATACACACATTCACTTTTATAGCATTAATTAAATTGAAATTATATGACAGGCAAATCATTTGCTCCAGGCAAAAACACAAATCATGACTACGTGATGCAAAATAGCTGAATGATGAGCAAATCTATATTTCTTTGGATATATTAATGAACTTGATGAATTGCATTTAATTAGTAGTTTTATATGTAACACTCTAATTTGAGCCATTGTTTAGCAGTATCCCCTCTCCATAGAATGATACCATAAATTTCTAGGGAATTGGCCAGGACACTATTCCACTGTACAACCCTTGATCTGTCCTGTGTCCTTGTGATAGATGAGTAAAAGCCCCTAAGATTTTTGGTCTTAATCTTTGGAATCTGTGAATAGGGAGTCAGGCTTTGGAGGAAGAATTTCATCTCTACTGCTGCAAGCCAAGTAACTTTGGGCATGACGTCTCTGAGTTTCAGTATTCTCATGTGAACAATAAGAATTACAATAGTTCTTATCTCACAGGGTCTTTGTAAGGACATATGCATGAGATAAATGTGTAAAACATATGGCATGTTGTTTCCTACCAAAATCAGGAACTGACAAGGAGATCTCCTCTCACCGCTCCTTTTCAATAGCATACTAAAAGTCCTAGCTTATGCAATAAGACAAGAAAAGGAAACAAAAGGTATATGGATAAAGAAGGATATGCAACTGTCTTTGTCCTTAGATGGCATGATTTTCTATGTAGAAAAGCGAAAAGAACACACACACACACACACCCCCAACCTCCTGGAACTAAAAAGTGATTATGGCAAGGTTTCAGGATATAAGGTTATTATACAAAAACCAATCACTTTTCTATATAGCAGCAACAAATACATGGAACTTGAAATTAAAAGCATGATACCACTTACATTAGCACCATCTAAAATGAAATACTTAGGTATAAATCTAACAAACTATGTACAAGATCTATATGAGGGAAACTACATAGTTCCAATGAAAGAAATCAAAGAACAACTAAATATAGAGAGAATTATTTCATGTTCGTGGGTGGGAAGACTCAATATTGTCAAGATGTTCTTCCCAAATTGATCTATAGATTCAGTGTGACCTCAACCAAAATCCCAGCAAGTCATTTACTTCATGGATATTGGCAAACTGATTCTTAAGTTTGTACGGAGAAAAGACACAGAATAGACAATGTAATAAGGAAGGCAAAAGATGGAATCAGAGGACTGAAACTGCTCAACTTCAAGCCTTACTGTGAAGCTACAGTAATCAAAATAGAGTATTGGTGAAAAACCAGACAAATAGGTCAAGGAAATATAATAGATCCTTATAAATGTAGTCAACTTATCTCTGAAAAAAGAGCAAAGGCAATACAATGGAAAAGGTGGGGTTTTTTTTTTTTGAGCAATAATAATGATAATAATAATGGAAAAAAGTAACATTCACATTGTCAAATGAGAGTATGTCTATTATAGAATGCTTTGACTCTGAGGTTCAGTATGGAGTTATCAGTTAATTTCTTCTTATTATTTTTTTCCAAAGTCTCAAAAAATAGAGAACTAATATTTATAAATAAAAATAAAAGATAATTTCAAAAAAAATTTGATTGTGTCAAATCTTATAGACAACAGAAAAAGAAGAAATACTTCAAAATCATTCTACTTCAACTGGATACACCTGATATTAGAATTGGAAAAATATATATTATTATAAAGGGAAATTAAAAACATATTTTATTTATGATGATGCAATATCCTAGATGACATATTAACAAGTTGAATTAAAAATTGTTTAGGTAATATACTTTGGTCAAAAATCCAATTTATGGATTTTTTTTGATCTACCTAGCTGTTAAAAAAAGGTAAGTTTTTTTTAACAGCTAGTGTTATAACATTCGGACAGCCTTGTCGAAAAAAAGTGAAAAAGAATCTAGACACAAACCTTACATCCTATAAAAACCCTAGAAGTTAACATAGGAGAAAATCTAGATAACCTTGAGTGTGGCAATGACTTTTTAAATATAATACTAAAGGTGCCCATAAAAGAAATAATTAAGGGCTGAACTTCATTAAAATTGAAAGGAATAGTTAAGAGAATAAGAAGACAAGCCACAGACTGCAGAAAATATTTGTAAAAGATGCATCTGATAAATGACTGTTATCTAAAACATATAAAGCACGTAATACAATACGTGATCCAGTTAGTGTTCACTAAATGTTATCTATTGCTGTTATTTAATTATTGCTGATTTACATTACTTTAGTTTCCCTCCATTTCCATCAGTTTTCTTCATTTATTAATAATTTTTCATTAATAGTAGTTGGTTTTTTTCTAGTCTGTTGTTTTTGTCAGTCAATTCCATTAGCCAACTGGCAGATTTCATCAAGGGTTTTATTTGGCTCATCTTCTAGACATCTTTCTCTTCATGGCAGAGGAAAAATGTGTCTGCTGGGCCTGGGGTCATGCAATAGTCCCATGAAGGCCATCTGTGGTTGGGCAGATTAGAGGTAGGGCCAGGCAGCCCACTGGCTCACTTCATTCTCCTGCTTACCCAGTAAGGAACGTGGTGAGGCCTTCCACGCTGCCATTCCCAACCCAACATCTGTCTAGCCCTCCCTTCTGAGCACCTCCTGCTAAAGTAACATGCTTCCTTCAGCCCTTGTGAAATGAATTAAGGAATAATGTTTAGATGAATCACAAAATATCACAAATGAAGATTGGGTTTCCCTCCTGTTGTCTTGACTATTTAATTGCTTATAAAACATTCACAAGGTGTTGGCAGCATGGGGGAGATGAAGAGAGGGTTCCTGGTCAGTGGATTTATCTTCTTACAGAAAATGAGAGAAACCAGGGTGTAACAAAGAGCTACTCCAGGTAGAGTGAGACAGACTTTCCCACTGAGTTTCCAAGAGCATTTCTTTTCGTTTACCCTTTGCCCTCATGTCTGTTCTTCAGATCTATCAGCCTTCCATCATTAAGAATGGGGAGCAGGTAACAGGGAGTAGGAGGGGGTTGCATTGCATGATCTTTCATCATGTGGGCCATTATGAGAGATTTGAAAGACAGAGACGCATTTACAAATGAAATCCTAGAGTGTGTCCAAGTAAAAGTAGCAGTGACTGAGAAAAAAGGCACATAGAAAAACATAAAACTTAAACAAGTTTTATTGACTTTATTGGTGATAGCTGGCAATTGGTTTGAAGGTTTTAGGCTCTTTCGGGGAGAGTCTATGAATACAAGAAGGAACACAGAGAGGAAGGCATCG